ATATGAATAGAAAAAACATGATTTAACGACTTAAGAGTCAGAACATGGCACAAAATAAATTGTAATGTTAAAGAATGCATAAAATAATATTCCATTAATGACACAGGCACACAGAATGGCCATTACATAAGGTACAGATTGTAAGAACGCCATCCCATGAACAGGTCAGCCTACTTCCCTTGACGATCATTTCCTCTGCAGAGATTGCATTGGGAGGAACATGACTGTTGCAATTGGGATGAAATTCTGCTGAAATGTACTTCAGCAGTAATTACTGTTTACTCAGAGCAGAAAACAATTTAAACCAGGTGACGAGAAGGATGTAGAATTCATTAGCTTTCTTGCCCACAGCTCCTCTAGGAGAAAAGAATCTGATTGCTTGAAAAAAATTGATTTAAAAAATGGCAAATGGAGGTAATTTTAGATATGTGTTCACAAAGCAGCCCCAAACATACTGCCCTATTCAGAAGTTGTTTCTATTTTTTTTCCCCCAAAGAACTAACATAAGCTCAGAAGATTGACTTGCACAGAGGCAGTGGGAGGCTAAGTGTGCTAAGGTTGCTTCAAGGCACAACTCAGATGTGGGCCCTGGGGACCCTCTCCTTGTAGAGCCTTAGACATCATTTTCCCTAAAACACTGATCAGATTCTGTTCGGTAGATACCCCTGCATATACTGGGAGGCTTCGAGGACATGGCTAAAAATACAACAACATTACTCTAGTTATAGTATCACGGAGTTCTGAGTCACCGCAGAACTCATAGAACAAAATGAAATTATCAAAGTAGAACATATTTAAAACACAGGCACACACTGAAGCAACCCTAGTTTTTTGACATAATATCCTCTAAGGAGAAAAAAATAGACTGTGACCAAGATGAATGGTGCAGATTTTACTCTAATTTCCTGTAGTGGAATTTCAAAGCCAAGAACTATTGTTGAACTTGGAGCTCACCGTTTCGCAGAGAAGCCAAGCCCTCTTTGACTCATTCCTCCCCTAGCCCGAGGAGATCTCCCAAATAGCCCGGCTGAGCTTCAGAGGGCTAACGTGCTGCTGAGTAGAACGTGTGCTTTAATTTCCTTTCTGGTCTTTGTCGACCATTGCGGCACCGTGAACTGTTGCTTTATCTTGTATTTTTTTTCTGTTATTATGGTTGTACATTTTAAATACAATTTTTTCTATTTAGAAATATCTCACTGAAGATGAATTAGTATTATTCATACAAGTAACTATCCTTCCAGCTATCCCCAAATCATTCTCTTCACGTTCCTGCTCAATGAAACTTTCAAAATCATTTATTCACTCATATTTCTTGGCAAGTTTTCCTTGACTGCCTGCTGTGTATGTATAAGCAGAGAAAGGGAGAGGGTGATGTCCTTCATTGCTATTAAAGACCCAAAGGGCTTTGCCCAAGATTCCACTCGTGTTTTAGTGAACTGTGAGGTGGAATTACTCAGGGTTATCACATGGTTAGCCCCATTGACTGACTCTGCTTGGATACACAGAACCACAGAGTGTTCTTCATGCTAACAGTCCTTTCTTCCCTGTGCTTCTAGAGGCCAGGCAGGAGTTACCAACTTCCCGGAAGAACTGTCAGCTGTGTGTTTCGGCTGTGTTTGGTTTTAGCTTCCTCTCCATTCTCTAAATATTTTCTTTTCCAAAGTGCCTCACTTCCTTCCTTAGAAACTAAGTTTCCCTGACCTTTTCTTTTCCTTTCTGTTTCTAATGGTCCTTGAAATGAAAACAGTTTGTTGAGCTCCCTTATTTGTACTTGGACAGCCTACTCAATGACTCCTGGGAGAATAATATCTGGTGACCTGTGGCACTCTCTGTTGAGAGAGAATGTGCGGTTTGCATTTTGGCAGCTAAACATAGAGATGGGTTTAAAAATGAACGTGTAAGTAGCTGGATAATAATTTCCAGCATGATGTCAACATTTCTTTAAAGCAGAGCCTCAATTTCTAATCTTCTGTCACTTTGGCCTCAAGGACAAGTTTGCCTTTATGAATGCAAAACGGCAATCTTGAAAGCCTTACCTCAAGTCAAATATTTCTTCCTGAAGATGTTCTACTTTGGAAGGTAGTGTTCACAGGAACTTGACCCTAAATAATGACTTTTTTTTTTTTTTTTTTTTTTAGAGACGGAGTTTCACTCATGTTACCCAGGCTGGAGTGCAATGGCGCGATCTCGGCTCACTGCAACCTCCGCCTCCTGGGTTCAGGCAATTCTCCTGCCTCAGCCTCCTGAGTAGCTGGGATTACAGGCACGCGCCACCATGCTCAGCTAATTTTTTGTATTTTTAGTAGAGACAGGGTTTCACCATGTTGACCAGGATGGTCTCGATCTCTTGACCTCGTGATCCACCCGCCTTGGCCTCCCAAAGTGCTGGGATTACAGGCTTGAGCCACCGCGCCTGGCCAATAATGACATTTTTTTGTTGGCATCAAATTCTGGATTTAGTTTTATTTTCTCCTAAAATTGTGAGTGTAGTTGTGATTGCTTTTTTACTACCATGTAATACTATTTCCTTCTTGGGGGTCCTGTGCAAATTGTGTATGGTCACATCCACTTTCTTTGGTACTTCTCTTATAAACTAGAAATTGTCCAAATGGCTCTTTGCATATCCTGATTGGACGTGTTCTCACTGAAGCCTCAGGACCAACCCCCATGCCTTGTCATATGTGTATGACTTAGTTTTTGACTTCCTGGCTTAGTGCTTTCTGGTGTAGGGATGCTGTAGTTACTGTCTTCAGCAATTGCTCTTTTTTCTTTCTTTTATCCATTACGTCTTTTATGTCGAAATTTCCCCACGTGACCAAGTAATTATTCTTTGTAACTTTCCTTGGCAGAAATCAGCCCGGATTTCTTACCGTGGACGTGACTTTGACTTGTGTCCTAGTCCTTCTGTGTTCCCCAAATAGCCCAAGGAGTCCATTCATTCTACCAAACAACCTACCACTTGAGTGAAATAAATATGTGTAACTAGCTACATGATTGAGTCATTATTAGACGGCGGTTAAATTGCCATACACTGTGGATTTCCAGTATCTTAGTGTGTAGGTCAAATTCTCCAGTGTATTACTAGTTTGATGGATTACTTTATTTTTAGTGGCCTAACTACATGAAGTTTTGAGTTTAAAATGTGGCTGGAATCTATAGAATAAACAGCTGCAACTCCAATAACATGGCTACAGAACTCCAGCTTAATATGTGTGATAACGAATACACGGTAGTACTGAGTTGAAGAGCATTGTATAGGAAGCAGAAAAACTGGGATCTGTCCCAGCACTGCTACAACACAGCTCATTTTACCCATCTAGGCCTGCCTTTCTCAATGGTACAATGAGGAATTGAACTACAGTTTCTGAGGCCTCGTCTAGCTCTGAAAAGTTAGGACTCTACTTTCAAATGGATATCAGCTGCCACTTCTTGACTTCGAAAGATGGTGTGGACCCTTAAAGGATCCTTCTTCAAATTTCTATGTCTCTCCTTATCTTTGGTCTCAGAAGACAGTTTAATCTTGTAGCAGAAAACACTTTTTAGTGAAACAAACTGGATCTTGCCGTGGAACAAGGAATAACTGATTCATTTGGCAGAATGACATTAACTCATTTAGGTTGCTTTGTTCTAGATTGTTTTATTCAGTAAGCTCCTAAGACCCCTAGGAGCCTGTGCTCCATGCAGACACTGACAACAGTCTCTATCCAGTTGCTGGTTCTAGGTGAGAGAGTGATCTCGCCATCATGATCAAGTTACTTTCTGTGGCCCATTAGGGAAGCGGTGACCTGGGGAGCTATTTGCCTGTTGAGTGCACATACCTGGAAGCATACTGCTTTCAATTTTTCACCCACATCAATGAGAAATGAGTGGCCCGTTAGCAAGCTGTAACTATGCAATCATGCAACAAAGCTGCCTAATAACATTTCATTTATTACAGGACTAAAAGCTCGTTATTGCTTGTAAAGGATGAATTCATAACCTCTGCGGAGTTATAGTTTATACACAGTTGATTTTCATTTATAAAGGCAGAAA